TGTTTCCCATGAATCATCAGTTAAGGTTATCTACAATTGAAGCTAAAAAGAGAACACCTTTGATGGTGCAACAGGAATCACGAAGTCTAACAACAAACAAAGTGTTGACTCAATGTCATGCAAAAAGCAAAATTAAACCATTCAGAAGCTAACAACAAACAAAGATTGTCAACGAGAAAAATAAGAAAGACAAATACCTTTCCTCACATAATGTTAATTCAGCTTCAGTCAAATGCCAGATACCTAGCATTTTTTTTGGGAGGGGGGCGGGATTCTACCTTTCACTGGCACACTCATGCTCAAATAAGCAACGAAAACGAAAATAGCACTTTAAGAAGAAAAAAAACGCAACAAAATCAATAAGAAAAACAGCCAAAAACCTTAATAAATAGACCCTCAAGTTCATCAGTATGTCAACAACATCGTAAAATGATACCCCCGCACTAACTGGCTTCTTTAAGATACAAGAGGAAAAAACACATATCAACCATAAAGCAGCTATCTATGTTGATCAAACCTATATGTAAAAAAGCCTATCATTTCCAAACAGACAAAACATTAAGCACACTAAAAATAATTACCAAAAACAGGTAATGAAATAAGTAGATAAATATACCTGCTTGTTGACCTCTACGCCGACGGCACGTTTGGTGACATTCCAGACTCTGCCAGTACGTCCATGGTAAAACTTGTGAGGCATACCCTTGTGGACGGCGCCGTTAACCTTAATGTCTACATGATCTCCAATCTTATAGGTTCTGAGGTAGGTTGTCAATGGAATGTAACCCTTCTTTCTGAAGGGACGAGCGAAGAGATCTCTAGTGCGAGACCGGAGCCCGTGACCAGCCGGCATTTTGTGTTTGAGTTAGTCTGAGGGTGCGCGGTGGCTCTGAGATAGAGGGGAAGAGTGCTCAGAAGGGATTAAAACCCTAGATGGGAATTTTATAGTTGGTTTTGGACTAGGGTTTGTGGTTGCGGCTTCTGGCTTCTGGGTTTATGGTTGTTTTGTTGGGCCTAATAATGCTGAAATTTCAGTGTTAAATTCATGGGCCCGTGGGTGTTGAATTTGATTGGGGAAAGGGCATTTAGTTTGGTCTAAATAGTATTTTCAGAAAATGGGTAATTTCGGGTACGTGTATGTTTCGCGAGCTATAAATAAATTTGGTTTGAAAATGAAATTGAAACAGATAATTGCTACTGTTTATTATGGGCACTTTTGTTTTTGGATTTTTTTCCATTTCAATATTGTAGATAAAAAATTTATTAAATTTTATTATTTAATATTAAATTTTATAAATAATTTTTATAATTTTTTATCATGTAATAAATTTTTTTAAATAATTCAATCCAATAAAATACATAACCTAAATTGTGGGTGGAATAGGGTTAATTTAACTGTTTTCTTTTTTTTTTAATTTTTTTTAATTTGTTTAGTTAACAAAGTCACGTCAGAACAACTTTTATATAATTTAATTTAAAATATAAGCTAAATAAAAAATAAAATAAAATATTTTCAAGAATAAAACCATCGTATTTAGTTTCATGACAATATTAAAAAATCTTCTATGATTTAGATAAAAAAATATTTTGTTAATTTTAATCCAAATTGCATAAAAAGTGTGAAAGAACTAAAACCAAATAATCTTAAGTTATGATATCAAGCACAAAAGATTTAAGTTCTGACATAGAATCTAACATGCAATTTTATAGACCCTAGAAGCTCGGGTCTGCACAACCTGGATAGTAGGTCTTCAAACCTGCTTGCTTGCATGTATAACTAGGTGCGCGGGTTAAGCCCTAGCATTTAGGATTAGACATTCCAGCATCAAGTGTCTACAACTTGAGATTTGTAGTTTTATCTAAATATGAACTGATTATTTTCTTTCTAATAAAAAAAATAACCCTACTCCTTATAATTTTTTCAACTCTATTTGATAACGACAACTCTATTATCAGATCACTTCAATTCACAATACTTTTAGCAAAAAGAGAAATATAAACAATACAATTTATAATAACATCATTTATATTTTACAGTAATTCACATTACTTCAACAAACAATACAATCCAAAAAAAATAGATATGAGTTGTATTAGTTGATAACATTGATTCAAACACCAGCTCATGGACAAATTACGAATCTTTTCCGGCTCTGTTTATTTGCAGAAAACTTGTTTTTTTTTTAAAGTGAATTCCGGATTAAGTGAATTCTGGAAAAAATAAATTTCTGAAAAGTAAAGTATTTTCCAATATTTGGTAGTGTTATGGAAAATGAATTGGAAAATAATTTATTAATATTTTATTTTTCTC